ATACAGTATTGAACACTGGGTATCTTTTTTCCCAGTACTGAGTTAAACTCGGGGCCTTCAAACTGATCGACATCCCCAATTGTTTTAAAAAATTTATACAGGAACATCACTGAGTCACTGTCACTGGGCTCGAATTTGTGATCCTCGGGCCTCAGTCATGCAGGAGTAATGGGATAACAGGCTCACCTCACCCAGCTGAACACTGATGATTTAGGATTCAAAAGTTAAAGGTTGGCTGGGGATTTAGCTCACTGGCATAAGCACCTGCCTTGCAAGCAGGTGGTCTTGAGTTCGATCCCCGGTACCGATAAAAAAAAAAAAAAAGTTAAATGTTAAGCCGGGCCTGGTGGCTCACGCCTGTAATCCCAGCACTCGGGAGGCTGAGTTGGGAGGATCATTGTGAGTTCAAGACGAGCCTGGGCTACAAAGTGAGCTCAAGGCCAGCCTGAACTGCATAGCAAGACCCCATCTCAAAAAAGAAAAAAAAAGTTAAATGTTAAAAAGTGGAGACCTAACAAATTTTAAATATGAGAATTAACATTAAAAATACTCAATAAATGAGCTGAAGGACTGCCTGGGAAAAACTAAACATTCAATTGGTGAACTAGAAAGTCAACGCAAGGAACATCCTAGAATGTGATCCATAAAGAGGAAAGGACAGAACATTTGAAAAGAAAAGGTTTAAAAGCCATGTGTGTTGATACACGCCTGTAATCCCAGCAATTGGGAGGCCGAAGCAGGAGGATTACCATGAATTCAAGGCCAGTCTGGGCTACATAAGCGAGTTCAAGGCTGGTCTGTACTATTAGTGAGACTCTGGCTCAAAAATCCAAAAAGAAAAAAATGTCAAGAAACACGAAAGATAAATCAAAAAATTTTAAGAGTTAACTCCAGAAACAGAACATGGAGAGAATATAGGCAAAGAAGTACTAGAAACTTTCCTACTGCCAAAAAGATGTACTAATCTTCAGAAGGAAAGGAACCATCAATTGCTGAGCAGGAAAAACAGAAAAGATATACATACTCCCTGGACACATGATGGTGCTATTTTACACCCCAAGGAGAACAGAAAATTACAAAATATCAAAGAAAATATATCAGCTAACTTACAACAGGAATGGGAATTAGATTTCATAGACTTATTAACTATATTAGCCAGCAAGTAATGAAGCATTATCTTTAAAATTTAGAGTTTTAGCAGACATTGTGGTATACTATTATAATTCCAGCACTTAGGAGGCTGAGACAGGAGGATCTCCACAAGTTTAAGGCCAGCCTAGGATATATAGTAAGTTCTAGGCCAGCCTGAACTATACACAGTAGCAACATACTGTCTTAAAAAACCAAAAGTAAAAAAAAAAAAAAAACCTAAAAGTAAATAAAAAATAAAATTCAGACTTTTAACTTAGAATCTTATACCCAGCCAGCAATATTTACATAGGATAGCCAAATGTTTTTAAACATAAAAGGATCTGAAAAGTTTACCATTCAGAAAATTACTCAGGCCAGGATTTAGCTCAATGGCATAGCAACTGCCTGGCAAGTGTGAGGTCCCAAGTTTGATTCACAATTAAAAAAGAAAAGAAAAGATGGGCCAGGGGTTTAGCTCAGCACCATAAGTGCCTGCTTGGCAAACTCAAGATCTTGAGTTCAATCCCCAGTACAAAAAAAAAGAAAGAAAGAAAATTACTCAGGAAGTTTAAATCTCTAAGGACAAAATGAAACAAGGACATAGTCAAGCAAAATAAATGAGATAAAAAGTATCAGTGATGAACAAATAATAAAACTTACAATTTATCTAAGTAACTGGTTTGTATAATGTACAGACCCCCTAAATTTCATATGCTTTTAACATGGGGCAGGATCAAAATCATGTTAAGGTCTTTTTTCTTGTTTAACTCAAAAGGAATGAATATATACAGATAGTACCGGGAATTGAACTCAGGACCTCGTGCTTGCCAGGCAGGCTCTGTGCCACTGGGCTACACTGCCAGCCCAAACAGATTATACTTAAACAGCAAAAGAAGAATATTTATAGATATGTACAAAAATTAAAGGCATCAAAGGAGCTCAATTTCACTTTCATCAAGGAAATTCAGATTTAAACCACAACGTGACATCTACCAGAGACAAAAATGGAAAAATAAAAAATACCAGCACGAGCAAGCACATGGAGTAGCCGTATACTTTTGGAGAAAATAAACTGAGGCAAACACTGCTGAAAATTCACAGTATTGGGATGTACCTCAGTGGTAGGGCACTCGCCTAGCCTGTGTGAGGGCTTGGGTGCAACTGCTAGAAGGGAGGGATGGACATAGACAGACTGACAGACAGAGAGAGAAGAAAACTGGCAGTGTGTTTTATGAGCAAGCATTCCACTCCTGGATATATCAATAGAAATGCATACATTCATTTAATAAATAACAAATACTGGATGATTCATAGCAGCATTACTCATGACAATCCAAAACAGCACACAACCCCAAAGCCAATCAAAGCAAAATTAACATCTACATTATGGATATACACACAATGGAATATAGGTAGCAATAAAAATGATGTACAAAGGAATAGAGAGGAAAGGAAATAGTAAGCAGGTAGATAAACCTGATAAACACTGACCTAGGAAATAATAACAACTGCAATGTTTAATTCAAAAGATTAAAGTAAAAATAACAGTTAAAGTTAAATGGGAATGAACAGAATCAATTAGGAGCCCTTGCCTTGTTTGGGAAGAGGACCAATTGATTGAATAAGTGATTTAAGTTTTCAATTCAGAAGGCTAGCACTTGAGCAAAATACGTTTAAATTAAGCAGAAAGGCAAATATTAACAACAGAAATTATTGGTGTAGAAGAATAACCAATAAAACCCAAAGCTGGTTCTTCAAAAGGATTAATAAAAAGCAATCAAGCAAGCTTGACCAATAAAAGAAAAAAGGGATAAAAGACATTAATATTAAGAACGATAACATCACAAATGCATGAGTTTATTTTCGTATAACAAACTATATAAAACATCGTGCTACCATATGTTAAAATTCAACAATGTTTCTGACTTTCTAAAACAATGAAAGTTACCAAATTGATTTGAAGAAATAGAAAACCTGAAAAAAAATCAATGATTGTGGAAAAAAACTAAACGATAGTTAAACACTGCTATCAACTTTGTAAAAAACAGCAGTTCTGGGGTGCACATCAGTGGTAGGGTGTTTGTCTAGCCTGGGTTATGCCCTGGATTCAATCCTCAGCACTGCAAAACAGAAACAAAACAAAACACCAGCAGTCTGCAGCCAGATTCTGCCAAACTTCAAGAAACAGATTATTATTCTGTTCCAGAACACAGAAAATGATGAGGTTTCCCAGTTTAATCAGCAAGAAGAGCATAATCCTACTTAGGAACTCACAAAAATGGGGAAGAAAACTATATACCAATCTCATTTATAAATATGGATACCAAAACTAAGTAATCAGATGGCATGCTGAATCTATCAAACTAACCAAAAGCATATTTTAAAGTGTCCCAGGATTATAGAGAAAAAATCTAGTACCATAATCACATATGGAACAGTTCTAACAAGGAAACCGACATGGTCATATGAATGTATGCTATACAAAAGCATTTGGAAAAATTAACACTTTCAAACTCTTAGTAATTAGGCACAAATAAAATTCACTTAAAGTGACAGACTAAGCTACCACAGTAGGGGAACATTCCCCTAAAACCAAGCCCGAGACAAAGATGTCCTATTTAACTTAAAAGTCAACAAACGTGAAGGTGACCAATGGACGACAAGAAATAAGAAAAACATGAGAAAGAGACCTAAGTTGTTACTAACAAATAATAACATTACCTACCTGGTACAGCCAAGCAAATCCACCGAAAACTACCATTAAACAGCTTCAGAGTTTAGCATGGAAGAGGCTCAGCTTCAGCTCTACCAAAGGAAATGTGCTCGTTCTCAGAGCTAATCATGCAAAGCTAGTCTCTGTAAATTATTGGGATTGACAAATTCGTGCCCCAACCTTAAACGCTGAAACGACACACTGTTTGAAAGTGGATAAACAAATCTTCTAAAACCAAAACTCATTCTGAAGGGCTGCGCTGTGACTCTACTCAAAAATACTTTTATCTCTCGCCTCCAGCCGCCACAGTTAGCAATGGATAAGCAACCAGTCCAACATAATTCATCCGATAGAGGGCAAGGAAGAGCACCTTCATGAGAATTTTTTTTCCTCCCCGAAGCGTATACTGTTTATTATATAAACTTGCGTGCTGGCAAATGGAGGTCCCACAAAATAAAAATAAGATATTCAGAGTCAAACTTGCTTTAAAGAAAAAATGCATAAGCACATACAACTAATTTTGTCTTAAAGGCTTTTGGGAAAGGAGGCTGTTACCGTCGCGCTCGGGACAGGCTCCGGGTCACCGGGACAGCCGTGAACACCCCACGGTCCCCCGGGGCTCACAGGTGGGCCAGCTGTGGCTCGCGCGCTGACCGGCCCTGCGCGGTCACCCCAGGGCGCGACTGCGGCCAAGGGCTTGCAGGTCCCTGACTCGGCACAGCACCCGGCAGGCGGCACCAGGGAGGGCGCGGGAGGCTCCCGGGCTCCATAAGCCGGGCAGAGCGCCCGCACACCTTCCCCACCGCGCGGGGGCTGAGACTGACCCCCGGCCGCGCCGGCAGCCACCTGGCCCTGGGTCTCGGGCTCCTGCGCCACCCCAGGGGGCCCCAGAGAGGAGGGGCGGCCCCCTGCGGGTGCCACCTGCAGCACAGACGCCCCTGCTCCCAGGCTGGGCGAGACAGGGCAGGACGTCTCTAGCGCCGGGGGCAGACCTGCTGCGTGCGGGGCAGCGCGGCCACAGCTGCGGCGGCCGCAGCGCGTCTCCCCAGGGGGGCGTCCTGCGTCCCTGCGCCCGGACTCCCGCGCTCTCACGCCGACCCAGAAGACGACGCGGCTGAGGCACAGAGAAGCTGGCGCCCATGCTGCTCCCACTCACCCGCCGGGCTCGGCTCCCGCTCCGTTCCCGCCGACGCTGCAGCAGCTCGCAGCCCTCTGCCCGCAGCCACCGCGGTTCCGCGCTCACGGATGCTGACGAAAGGTCCAGCGGTCCCACGGGCGCCTTTCCGCCTACCGCCTGCAGGGGGCGCGCGCGTGCTGGCGCGAGGCTCCCTGGGAGTTGTAGTCTAGTAATCGCCGTGTCTTTGCCGGGCGGATGGTCTGGCTGCAGCTGGTGGTCAGTGCTTTCTCACAGTTTCCTCTGTCCCCTCAAGCACTCATCCTCCACTCCTGGATAACTGACGTAGGAGGGTTTCACTGGGAGGTCTGGACCGCCCTACTTGGCATTCCAGACCAGTGTAAAGTGTGCAACCGGTAGGATACTTATGTAATTTCAGCACTTCGGGAAGATGAAGAGGGAGACTCTCAAATTTGGAAAACTTAATGACTTCGTCAGACCCTATTTTACATCCCCATATATATTCCATATATATACATATATATATGTAGCTCAGTGTAGAGGCCCTGGATTAAATCCCCAACATTTAAAAAACGTAATGTGTGGTATTGGGACCAGTAGCTTCAGCATGGTGTTGAAAGTTGATAAAACTTCAAATTCTCCTACCTAACAAGGCTATTTGATTTTTCTTTTGTTATTTCTTTGTTTTTGTGGCTCTGGGGATTGAGCTTATAGCCTCACATCTGCTAAGCAGACCTCTACCACTGAGTTACTCTAGGTCTATTTGGTTTTACTGTATCAAAACCTCTGAAAGTGGGACCCAGAAATGTGCATTTCTGCAAACGCCTCAAGTGACTCTGAAGTACCTTCAAGTTTGAGAACTTGACTAAGCTTCCCCTGATTCCCCTTACCCAGGATTTTATGTTTCTTATGCAGTACAGTACAGTACTTACATGCATGCATACCTGTGTGTCCCTAGGTAAACTGAAGAAGGTATTTCTGTCCTAGCCAAAATCTCTCCTCTCACCGTACACCATGTCCACCCACATCTCCAGCCTGCCTCCAAGACACCCAAAACAAGGTCATGACCAAACTTGGGATTTTCACTCAACCTGGTTCTCTCCAGTGGGCTTTACCAAGGGCTGAGGAACATCTGCTGTAGTTATAAACTGGACCTCAGTGAGAGCTATGACAGGAGCTGGAGTCTGATTTGAGGGCGCAGCGATCAAACACGACCAATTCTTGCCAGATGTGCTGGCGAGGGCAAAAGACACCGTGGGTGGGCCGGATGTGAATGTACTGTTGGAAATCTGCTATTTTGTTTGTTTATTTATTTACTATGGGAGAAATATTAGCATATTTAAAGACTTGTGAAAAAATCCAGTTGATAGGGAGCTAGCTGGCTAAAACTTCGTGCTTCTGTAGCAAATTATACATGCTTAAAGGGACAGACAGGCACGCGTGGGTGGAGGGCGCCTCTGTTAGTGGTTCTCCATCAGGAACAGTTGTCTCCTACACACACATTTGGCAATGTGTGGAACTAGCTTTGGCTGTCACGATTGGAGGCAGCGCTCCTGGCATGTAATGAGTAGAGGCCTGGGTGACTGCTGAACATCCTGCCATACAAAAGGCAGCCCCTGAGCAAAGATCGATGCAGCCCAAATGTTAACAAGTGTTGAGGTTCAGACAGCAACAACGCCTCTGTGAAGAAGCAAAGAAGAGCAGTGGTTTCATTTGGAAAAGCCAAAGGAATTTTGTCTGCAAAGGAATAAAGGAAGTTATCGGTGAGGGTGGGCAGATGTGAGTATGTGTAAAATGCAGACCCGTGAAGACAATAAGATTCATTATGACGCCCATTCTGGTTGACTGTTATCTTCTTTTGAAGTCCTGTAATGTCTCCAATGTTTTGGTTTTATTCTTTACTGTTTTGTTCAATTTTATTATAGCTGATGTTATAGGCAATTCTTTTTAAGATAGCAAGAGGCAGTATGGTAACCATTGTTGATCACCTTATATTTTGTTTTTACATTATGTATTATGTCCATCCTTTTGATTTGACTGACTCTGTTCTGTTATGTCACATTTGGTAGTACTCTCTTGAAAAAAAAAAAGTAATAAGAACTGTGGGAGTAATAAAACCCAAAATGTGTAATTGTCATTGTACAAAAGAGAGGAAAAGAAAGTGCTCTACAGGATATAACTGCATGTATATTTAAGTGTATAAGATAGATAACCATATCACTGACTTTTGTTGGCTCATTGAACAGAACTGTTTGCAGTCTCACTGTTTGAATGTCTACTTTATATGCTTTAATTTTGTAACTTGAACAACTATTTCTAAGATGACAATATGTAATCTATTAACTAATGACTTCCTACTGTTTACTTTTTCTGAAATTCTGTATAACTTATACCCTTTCTCTGTTTTTTTTTTCTTTTCTTTTTCTCCTCAAATAAAATTTAAAAAAAGAAGAAATGCAGACTCTTGGGATCTAAGCTGAGCCAGAAGAAAAGTAAAGCAAGAACCAAATAGTTAGAAGGAGGTTGTAGATTCAGTAGTCTGGAAGTTTTGGGGGTGTCAAATTCCTTTACCTTACTAAAGCTATTGGAAAACCAGACCGGAGAGGGATTTATAATAAGAGAATAGGGACAATCTCTGGTGATCAGATCAGGGTAAAAACCATGCTGCCAGAGTGAATTATTGTGTCCCCCACGAATTCATGTGTTGCAGCCCAGGTTCCAGTGTGATGGTATTTGCTGGGGGTGGGGGTGGTGATAAGTTGGAGACTTCATGAATGAAACCGGTGCTTTTATAAAAGAGACCCCAAGAGCCCCTTGCCAGGTGAGGACATGACATCAAGGTGCCATCCGTAAACCACAAAGTGAGCCCTCGCCAGACACCTGCCTCCATCTTGGACTTCCAGCCTCAATGATGAGAAACAAATTTCTATTTTACCTAGACTGTGATTGGGGGTGTGAGCTGGGGATTAAATTTAGGTTCTCTGCGTTGAGCTACATCTCCAGTTGGTCCTATTTTTTTTACTACTTCTTTTTTGAGACAATATTTTACCAAGTAGCTAAATTACCCAGGCTGGCTTGAAATTTTACTCCTGTCTCAGTCCCCCAGAGTGTTGGGATTACAGGCATGTGCCACACGCCCAGCCCGAGTTCGTGATACGCATTTTTATTTATACTATCCAGAAAGATGTCCAGACGGATAGCAAGCATAGAGTTAGGGCCACCAGGTACCTTATGTGGATTGTGCAGTGCCCACGTTTGAAGTTGAACTTGAGTGTGTTCATGTGCCACGTCCAATCTTTCTACAAATCTAGTTGACTTGACTTTTTAAAAATTGTGTGTGTGTGTGTGTGTGTGTCTGTCTGTCTGTCTGTCTCTCTTTCTCTCCTTCCAACCCTGTTTGTATACCAATCCCTGTGGAATGAATGGTCAGGTGACTGCGTCTCACAATTGCAAGACTGGTCTGACCTTAGAAAATCTGTCCATGTCATTCTGTTAGGACACATTAAAAGCAGAGAACTTCGGCTGGGTATGGTTGTGCGATCCCAGGGCTGTGTGTAATCCCAATGCTCAGGAGGCCAGGGCAGGAGGATCACCACGAGTTCAAAGGCAACCTGGGCTACATACTGAGTTCAAGGCCAGGCTGAACTACAAAGTGAGATTTTGTCTCAAATAAATAAATAAATAAATAAATAAAGGAGACAACTTTGTATTAAAAAAAATCATTTGATAAAACAATGCTTATTTCTGTGAATTTAAAAATACAAAAAAAATTCTAAGCCAGATAAATAATCCGAGATCTTCGGTAAACCTAGCACTTCTTGGTGAAACATTTGAAGCATTCCCATTCAAGGTCAAACCAAGAATGCCTGCAATCTCGTCCAAGTAGTTGAGAAGGAGAAACAAAGACCAATAAAACCCTAAGGGTGGACGGCCTTATGGCTCTTGCAGATGATCAGTCCCCGCCCACAGCAGCTGGCTGGCGATGGCTCCTGTGAAGTTGGCTCCGCAGACAGCAGGACCCAGATGCATCCACGGGATGATGGATGTTTTCTCGGCGTGATGCCATTGGATGCAGGAACTCCTCTCCCAGCGGAGGGACCCTCCCCTCCCTCTCTTCATACTTTGGGGCTCTAGACTGTGATTTATGTTCCTTCAAAGGATCGACTCATCCAGAAGGCTGGAGTGTGCGACACATACATGAGATCACTGTTGAAAATATAATTCTTTCTACAGCACCACGGCGTCCAGAGGCAGGGGTGAGGCCCTGGGCAGCCTGTTCACACTTAAGCATAGTGATTTCCATGGGAGCCTCTTTTTCTTCTGCCTATTTGTTTCACCAGGTTTCTGCCACTCTAACAAACACCTGGGGTAATCTACCTATAAATAAAAATGTTTTGGATCACGGTTTTAAAAGTTTTAGCCCATGGGTGATTGGCATTGCTGCTGGGGCCTGTGGTAGCACACGATGGCAGAAATGTGTGGCACAGAAAACTGCTTAGCTCGTGGCCGGGAAGGAACAGAGCCGAAGGAAGGGGTTGGAATCTCAATGTTCCCTTCAAGGACAGGTTTTCAGTGACCTTAAGACCCCTCACTACCCTGTACCCCATGGAGGATCTGTCAACGCTCAGCAGCGCCACCACTGTCTTGAACATGTGGTACCTAAATTCACTGCATATCCCAGGTTGCCTCAAATTAGTGGCAATCCTCCTGCCTCGGCCTCCGGAGTGCTGGGATTAGGTTTGTGCCAGGTTTAAATTTAAACCGCTGTGCCAGGTTTAAATTTTTTTTTGAAAAAATAAAACATAACTTCCTTAGCTACTTACATGAATCTTAAGCAATTTATTTGTAAAAGTTATATGCATTTCTGTTCCGACTGTTATCCAGAGAAAAAGATCAGGCTCCGGGTTTATACCATACATATTAGGGTTTTGCTGCCACCTAGAGGACTGATGTAGTTACTGAACTGTGTGCAAAATTCCGAGCCTCAATGGTAGAGGTTGCTTTTCATCAAAGTAGAATTTCTTGGAGGTTTTTTTTTTTTTCAATCACTTTTAGATGTTTTCTGGTAAGAATGAATAGTATTTCGAATCGTGGACCATTTTAAGATGTTAAACAATGGACACTAAAAAATGCATTATGTAGTA